CACTTATCAACACTTCCATTGTCTTATCCATTTTACCCTAGAACGGCCGCTATGTGTCTTTGCTAAAATAATGTCCATTAGTCCGTTAAATACTTCATTTTACTTCCCTACGGACTGCGACAACGCGCCTAAATAAATAGCGTGACACCTCTCGCACACTTCACCTCGGATCCACCAACCCTGTCATCTGATTCAGGGCTCCCTGTCCCAGCACGAGCCAATCAGCCCGTCCCTTCCCACGCCCCTCCCGAACAGAGCCGCCATGCAACCCCCGCCGCCCGCCCCCGGCCCGCCCCGCCCGCCCCCGCTGCCCGCCCTCTCGCTACTCCCGCCCCCGCCCGCCCGCGCCCGCGGCCGACCCCGACCCCCGACCCTGGGATCCCCCGCCCGCCCCCGGCCCCGCCCGCCACCCGCCCCGCGCGCCCCCGGCAGCTCAGCCAGCAGAGAAACCGTCACGGTTTGTTCTCCCAACGCATCTCGTGATGATATTTGTATTGAAATATCAGTGGCGGTTCGTGCGTGTTAGAAGCAAAGAAGTCACTGACAAACACCACCATTTTAAATGAAACATTCTAAAATTAGTTGTCATTTAAATACGCGCAATGCGAACTACCCCTTCGGTTGGTTCAAGACAAGACGTGCTAGATTTTTTGTCAGGCCCTAGCGAGTTCGAGTTCCGGCCGGAATAAAAATGAAACTGTAGCTTTCTACTACCAATCGTTTCAATTGCTATAGCTGAGAGTGGGATGAGAGCTCAGGCAGAGCTGAGGGAAGGTAGCTCGGTGCAGTGATGGGAACATCGTGTTCGCCATATGTCACCCTCACCTCCAGGCGAGCACAATAAATAGGACCAGGATCTCGGCCTGCAAATCCTCGCATTAATCTGACCCGAAAATGCGAAATACATCATATGTAATGCTAACTGAACTTTTACAAAAATATATTTAACTTGATCGTGGTGGTCTGTACGAGAAACACTCCCTTAATATTAAAAAAACGAAATATTCGGTACAAAAATGTTAATTTTAGCAAACAATCAAGATTTTACTACGACTTTTCCTGCATCTGAAGGTCGCGATCTAAATTTTTAATATCTCGGAAACCACTACCGGACCAAAAATCCCTCCAATTTCAAAATAGAACGCATGGATGACACAGACGAATTTCAATGAAACCACGCCGTGCAAAAGCGCAGTTTGCGTCCCTTGGCAGAGGAAACCTCGGGAAGCGTCCGAGTCACTGTTGCGGACTCCTCTCTGTGCATTCTGGTCTTTCTGAATTATGCAAATATTTAAAAAGCCTCTCTACTACATGTTTGTACAGTTAAAACAAAGTAATAATTCTACGTAACACGTTCAGAACAACATAGATGATTCTGTAAGCCCACGATTCAAGTTTTGATGGAAGAATACTTTTTCTACAGCAAACGCTCTTCTCTTCTTTAACATGAAAAGGCTTTGTATAGTACTCGCACTGTTCACGCCTTGATGTTGGAAGAGGGAGGGAGAGACAATCGGTTTTATTGGCCCTTTCTCGTGAGTTGTATGAGGCGAGATTACCTCCCTCCCCCTCTCTGTTGTCTCTCTTTTTCCATGTCCTTTCCACCTCTCTTTCCCTCCTTTTACCCCTTTCCGTTTTCTCACTCATTTTCCTTCTCTCCCCTTTCGTTTCTCTTTTCCCTCTCCTTTCCCTCTCCTTTCCCCCTCTCTTTTCCCTGTCTCTTTTTCCTTTTCACTTTTTATTATTTTTCCCTCTCTCTCTGTCTTCTCCTTCTTTATTTTTCTACCTCTCTTTTTCCCTACATATTTTCCTTATTTCTTTTTCCCTACTCTCTCTCTCTCTAATTCGCTTCTCTCTTTCCCTCTCTCTCTCTCGCTCTCCCTTTCCTTTTCTCTTTTCCCTTATTTTTCACTCTTTTCACCCTCTTTTCCCTGTCTTGCTTTTCCCTTTCTCTTTTCCCGTCTCTTTTTCTCCACCTCTTCTTTCTCATTTCTCTTCTCATATTTGTCTCTTTTTCTCTCTTCTCTCTTTTTTATACCTCTCACTTTTCCTCCACGCTCTCTTTTCCATCACTACCCCATCTCTCTTTTCCCCTCTCTCTTCTTTCTCCAACACGTGCTGCCCACTGTCAAAATATCGCAGAACTTACGATTTCTGGAGTATATCTGGGTGCTCGAATATTAAAGTGAGACTCTGTAGGTGTCCTCCAATCACCCCCATACCTTCTAAAGAGTTCACGATATTGGAGTGCAGGTTTGGCTGAACAATGCATAATCATGGGGCAAGTATCATGCCGTAGAGAAGTAGTCTATAATATTTTTATAAATTTAATCATTTTTGATTTTCTAAATGAAGCATTATATTTTCCTCACCAGCAATGGAGGAAAGAATGAACAGAGGAATAAAATGATGTATCGTATGTTAATATTTGTTAGAAATGTGAGGGCAAAATTAGACTTCCTGGCATGTGATTTTAAATTAAACGGATAATATTTCTTGTAGCAGTCCTGCACCTCTCGCCTTCGGGGTAGATGGACTTCCCTGCGTCAAAAAATGATTAACTTTCTTGGAAACTGAAAGTATTAGAGACAATTTTTCTACGGCATGTTACTTGCCCCATGATTCCACAATTTTATGCGAAAAGGAGACTACAGTGATATGGAAAGAAACTGTAATGCCTACATGCGAATTACGTGGAACAGTACACCTGTAACATAATCATTTACACTGAAACACGAATCCCAGCGCTTAGGAACTGAGTGGATGGCTTCCGTGTAAAAACTGAGTTGCGAATGGATCCGCTGTTCCACGGTGGCTGGCACGTCCTCGTCAATCTCTGATCTTCAAAAAAACCTTAAGGGGCCGAAATATGGGAGTAGCATGGGGAGATACCGGAGGGGAAGGAGGTTGTTGCAAGACCTCCCGGCGAAATCTTGCAAATGAAGGTAACGGAGCACGTATGGCGCTGCAAACACCGTTGGTCTCTTTGCCGTTTTCTCTGTGTTCACTGTTATGTTTGTGATACACATATTATCCTAATTAAATATTTGAAGAGAAATTTATAATAAAAATTAACAGAAAGTAATGCGTATGTCACTCATCTTAATATTTTATTTGTGGACTGTTTTGTTCGTCTGTTATTCATTGTGTAATTTATAGTTTAATTTCAATTTTACGATTGTATAATTTATTAAAAAATTAACAAAAGTCTTAAATTTTGTTCCTTTTTTAAAGTTAGTTTTCATTTTAAAAATTAACAAAAAATTCCATTGTTATTTATGCAATTATATTTTTATTCGTTTGATACAGATTATGAATTTTTTTGGTTTTCTTTTATCTCGGAATTGTAATGTTGACTTAAATCTCTTCTTCCCAATGAATGTTTTGCCTCCGTAAACATACCGCGTGTTTCCTGCCAACAAAAACCTACTCATCTCCTACTCGTTCTTCCCCTCTCCTCACACGCGGCGGCTAGCGGGGACGCGGTCGCAGTCGCCTTGAGGCGCCACTTTTCGTATCTCCTTTCACCGGGACGCGCCGCGCAACCGCTGGGCCGCTCGTTAGCCGAAACGCGGCGCCCCCGCGACCGCAAATGGCGGCGCCAATGGCAAGGCTCTGGCGCAAGCGCCCGCTCCCCTGCCGGCTTTTGTCTCTCAGAAGGGCAGCGCGCGGGCGGCGAAGGAATCTGCGCACAGAAATTAGTAACCTTTCGAGGCGTTTAATTGAGCAATTCCGCAAGTGTTCCACGGGAACACTCGAATCTTTCTCTTCAGCCATCGGGAAAGATGTTATAAAGTTTTTCGAATTTCTGACATTGAACACCACAAACGAAACGCTCAGAATAATAACGGCGGATCCCAACCGAAGTTCGTTTCGAAAAGATGACATTTTCTGATTTCGTTCACGTTTACTTTCACTGTGGAAACATTTTTGAAAGGGCAATTTGAGGGATTTGCCGTACACCAATTCATTTGATGTTTCAGCAGTAGAAAGGCATATGGCGGATATTGACCGTCACACTTCTAACTGAAAATGGGAGGTCGGTGGGGATTTGCCGTTACCCTGAGTGCCTCAACTGTATTACAATTAATGTTATTCTGCTTAGATGATACAATTATTGAGACTTTTCTTTCACATTTCTCAACATGTAGTAAATAACAAAGTATAATGGTTCATCTTTGTCTTTGACATACACATTGTTAATAAAGGTTTCAACACATCCAATTTAAGTGGTAATCTCGACTTCATTATACGGAACTAGTGTTTGCCTTATTTGTATCGATAATATAATCGAGTTGAGAAGGTTTCATTTCTGAACTTAAGCTTCTCTAAATTGAGATAAATTTATGTTTTATTAAAAGTTGAATTGCAACTGTAATCGTTACAAAAGGTTTTTTATGTAATATACTAATAATATATTGTATTGGTTATCGCCCCTAGTCTCCTATCTACTCTATCATATCTAGCTATCTGAGTACTATAAATTAATACTATACAATCTATAAGATTATATACTATATACTATAATATATATATATATAGAGAGAGAGAGAGAGAGAGAGAAAGTGAGTAATTTATGAAAATATTTTTGTGTGAGATAAATAAATTCCATGGTTGTAGCAGATATCTTGTGGTAATCCATAATATGGTAAAGGAAATAATATCCAAAAAAGGTTTTATTCTTCTTTTTTTAGAGTTTTCGAGAATTCTTGAGTTATATCTTTAGCTTCTCTATTCAAAATATTGATATAATTGTGAAGATTTCTGAGCACAGTAATTATTTATTTAATATAGCAATATATGTAGTTCTGAATGTAGTCTGGTGAACAATATTTTTCCCTTTAAGCTCTGTAAGGTTGAAAACTAGGTTTTGTTTAACAATAAGAACCTAGGATTGCAAATACTTTACAATAATACAATTCATAGGGGATGTACTTTTGAGGAAGTGAGAGGATAATGGTGATTCAGAATATAAAAAGAGTAAAGATATCAGAAATAAAATGAAATATCATTTAATAGATCACACAACATAAAACAACGCACTATACAAGAGCACAAGAAGTATGCCCACGCATTGTCATTTGCTGATAGAAATTTATGTACAAAATAGTAGGACATCTTCTTTTGAGTATTGCACAAAATTCGTCCGCTAGCAGAATCAAATACAAACATTCATCCATGCGAAAAGTCCCTCAGGGTTCCAAAAGTGAAAGAAGCCTTCAAAAGAAGCAACATGTCCTACAGCTTTGTCAACTTGGCACAGCGAAGATGGCGTGTTTGAACCGGTGTCCGTGAGCGTCGGCCAGGGGCGGGGGCGGGGCCGTCAGTCGCTCACTTGCGGCCGGGCTGCGGCAGATGGGCGCCCTGCGGCTGGAAGCCGTCCTGGTTGGCGGTGTAGGTGAGCGTGTACGAGTTGCCGTTGGCGTCCGTCCAGCTGGCGGTGCCGCGCACCTCGATGTGTTCGTTCTCGGTGCCCGCGTCCACCAGCACGCCCTCCTCCGACCGCGCCACGCCGTCGCTCGTGCGGAAGCTGCCGCACACACACACACACACACACACACTCACTCACCATCGCGTTACCGCCGGCTGGCAATGGCGAGTTACGCTTAGTGTCATTTCCAGATGGAAAGACAGTTTCTGCAGGTAACGTGATGCCACTTACGACTGAAATGTTTGAAGTCATTTACAACAAGCGTTGTAAATGGCTGATTGCATCATTGCATTCTTGACAAGAGAAATCAGAAGATAACGCATGAATATGAAAGGTCCCAATGTTGTGAATACACCGTACAACTAGAATACTGCAGCTATTACTGTTTCATTTATACTAATTTTGACAGTGATATTCGGAAAAAATCAAATGTTAGATAATTTTCTCAAACTAAGCAATATACTGCATTCTTAATAAAATGTTTATCTGTAAATCTACAAGATAAATAGCTGTCTTAGTGAACATCTAGGTATTTCAGGAATAAGAAAGACAGGAAAGACAATTGGAGGTTCTGTGAATATATTGATGGATTGTATGATTTTTTTGAACTCTTCAATATGATGTTGAAGCAAATGAAAGGAATAGTAACGATTATTAAGGTGATTCAGCTGTCGTGAACTTGCTTTTTTTACCCACTAATGAATTTTTATATCATAAATATTGATGAAAATTTAAGCAAAAAAACAAGCTACTATTTTGTCGCATTGACTTTTCGTGTTTTGGATCGTTTTGTTGATAGTTATTTCTTATAAAATATTTGTAATGTAAGTTAACAAAGCATGAACAGACGTTTCGAAGCAACCTTTTACGGACAGGTGTGGAATGACCTTTCAATGATGTCTCCCAATGAGATTGGTAAATATGTCCGGGCACGTCAGCTGGAATGGCAATTGGACCCATTAGTGTTGTTTTATGCCGAGAGGTAGCGGTGTTCCTACTTCGCTGTATTGTGAGATTAGAAGCAGGCATGCAAGGAATTTCGCTCCCCAGGTATCTCCCCTATTAAGACACCGACACAGCCGAGAAAATCTCTAAACCCCCTGTTCTGCCTTTTGTTATAATGCGCAAGTAGGTACAAGGGTGTGTAAAAAGGGAGAGGAGAGGACAAGGAAGAGGAGGGAAAGTTCTAGAGTGGTTCGTGGCACGTTTGATAGTGAACTACTCAGGCATTCGCCTCGCATCGATACGTTAAAGCATGGAAACCACGTATGAGAGCAGCCAGGTGATAGAACTGACTAGGCAGTGGCTGAATTCGGCCTAACCAAATCGGGCTCGGACCGAGGACCTCCCGTTGAGCGCCGCTGCAGAGGCAGCCCTCGCGGGAGGGGGAGGGGCAAGGGCAGCTGTGCTCACCTCCACTTCCAGGGCCCCACGCCGATGCTGGGCTCGTTCACCTCCTCGACGATGGTGGCCTGGCGCGGGTCGGCCTGGGGCGCGGCGGCGGCCAGCGCGGCGACGGCGGCGAGGACCAGGAGCTGCGCAGCCATAACGCCATCACCCTCACTCTCACTCTCACTCTCACTCTCACTCTCACTCTCAGTCGCCAGCCACGCGCCCACGCGCACACGTTAATGGCAGGGCTCGCTACCCACGGGGACACGTTTGCAAGTTGTAAGCAAGAGGACATTTTGGCTCATAGGGGTTCCATGGCAACCATGCCCCGTCATTTGGACGACCGGACAAACACTGCACAAAGACGGCAGATGGAAGCGTACGACAATGTTACTATCACAAAAACTATAACTTTGGGGGTTATCATATTTTACTCCCCAGCCCTTCTAGAGATGTTTCGTATAGAGAGGAAACATTTTAGAGTAGGCTACTTTTGATCTTCTGCGAATGAGCAATTCGAGCTGAGAATGCACACAGGCTGAAAACTGTATACGTTAAGGTGCTTCACAGCGTGCAAAAATGTCTTCAAAACATAGTTTGTGAGTTTTAGTAACCTATAACATTAATGTTCGCGAGTTCTCCCAACAAAGCTGCATAATTATTTGAAAAAAGTATTTTTATGGTCAAAACTAACCAATTTTTCACTGTTGATTACTTTGGTCTGAAGAATGCTCATTTTACGGATACATTTTTATGTTATCATGATACATTCATTTAAAGAATATCGAATCTGTAAACCCTTCGGGCTCAAAACATTAAGTTTAAAAAACATCAGTTGTAATAAATTGATGCTAAATATATTGATGTTTTGACAATGTTAATATCCCTAGTTGTCGCATCTCGTGTTGCAGGCTAGGGGGACAAATCAACCCTTCATTCCAGATTATGAGAGAACTCTTTTGAAAAGTACAAATAAAATTCTTACAAGTTCATACAATGACACCTCAGAACCTGACCAATCAAATGTATGAGACATATCAGTTCTGTGCTATCGAGTATTTGGCGATGGCGATCGTACTACAGATACTTGACTGTCCAGAAAACACCGTAACCTACATTCAGATCCAGCGTTTCGGATGTCATACTGCGTCCTTCCTCAGGGCGAAATGTATATTTAAAATGAATTTTGCTCTGAGGACGTCTTCTGGTCAGCTCAGTATCTATTGATTCTGACTGCGGAAGCCAATGCTTTTTGCTTGTCCATAGGAGCTAGAGCGTTCAACTGGCATGTGGGAAATCAATTGTCACCGGCCACTTTCGATGCAAATCAAAGCTAATTAATAACCGATGACCCAGGATCGATTAGCGACGGCTAGGTGCAAACTTCAGAGAAATCAGTAAGTCTACATAATGTAGAAAATCAGTGAAAAAATTTTCCTGTTATGTCAGCGAGAGACGCGAAAGCGTAAGAGATTTCCACGTGGCAAACGGAGCAGCGAAGTGTCGTGAGCCGCGCCGCGGTCGGCTTTCTCCGTCCGGACAGGCGCCCGCGACCCGCGCAGTGCAGTGGCGTCACAGTCGCACCGCCGTTGCAGGCTGCATCTTCCGCGTGCAAATACCACCGAAATGCCGTGCGCTAATGACTCTCCCAACGAAATTCTCGTGGCGAAATAACTTGTGAATGGGCAATATTGTTTGCACTTTTCAGTTGGTTACATACGTTATTTTTGATTTTAATATTTTTAGATTTAAAAATAAATATGTAAATAAATAAATGGAACCGACTTTTTGATTTTTTTCTACGTTCTGATTTACGTTAGTCCCCAAATTCCTCGGACGTACTTACGTATTTTGGATATCCACCACAGGATTCTTTACTTACCATCTTCATGGTGACTGAAGGTGTTGAGGTTACTGTTTGTACTGAGAGTAGTTGCGTTCTGGAGAACGAGCCGTGTTGTGAAGATGGCACCTCCGCCGCCAGCTTATATACCTCCGCGAGCTCCTCCGCGCCTCCCCCCCTCTCCGCCCATTGTGCGCATCTTTCTTCAGCGAGTGATCTAAGAGCTCGCGGCATCCGCATCCCCTCCTCGCGAGCGCCGCCCCCGCCGCCGCCGCCGCCGCGTCGCTGTCCCGCTACTTAGCGGGATAATTCAAATGCCTGTGGCGGAGGCGCTGCGCCACCCCGCCGCGCTAACCTTTCGGCCGGGGCTGCATCGGGGGAGGGGGGCGGAGAAAGGGGCCAGGGGGTCGGCTGGAGATGCGCGAAAAGGAAAGTGGGAGGGGGCCGCCGCGGGCGGGCGCGCGCTCCAGGCTAACGGGACCCCTCCGCCGCCGGCGCCGCCACGTGGGACCTCGCGCCGCGCCCGGCGCCCACGTGCTCGCCCACGCGCCGCAATTGCGAGTGCGCGCCCAGACGCGCAACGTGCTACACGCTCTTGTGCTCACGCTCCTGTGCGACGCACTGGTTGTGACGAGTGGCCACAGACTGCACCGGAGATTCCTCGGACGTCTGCTGCGCACGCAAAGAACTGTTCGACTTTCATTTTCGTTCGTATGGACTTAGTGCTTATGGTTCCTTCTCTGTCAACATATTTGGCAATTGTTGAAAACATATAACTGCATATTTCTGTCTTGTAAAAACATTAGAAGCTCTGATTCCTAAAAGAGTTTTCGAAACGTAATAGGGTAATAGCAATTTGTAAGATATAGACGTTACGGTATATATTCGTAATATGCGTTGAATTTTCTATAGTGGCCCATGACATTACGTCGTTCTTGCACCTCCTGCCTCATAAAATGAATCGTTTTAATTAAATCGAAGACGCCCTTCACAACGGGGCACGTGGCCTCAGAAATGTGCATAAAACTGTTAAAAAGATCCATTTTCTAAGGCAGAACAATGACCTAATGTCATCGGCCTCTGCAGAAAACTCCAAGTACAAACATTAGATTCGTTCTTGTAGAAGATGGTTATTTGTCGGATAAAACATTAACATTGTAAGATATAATGAATTCAATGGAGAATTTCCCAATCTGAAAGTTAAGAAAAGAGAAAAAATTCTAGAGCCATTTCCGTGTCATAATCTACATCTTTAAAAAAAGTAACGTAATCCGCGATGCGATAATTATAAAGAGAACAACCCTCCAGCCTTCTTGTCTTATATCGACTGCTATTCCTGGAGGAATCTATATTACTAAAATATAATACGCCCAGAATAAAAAACAAACAACAAATAAACAATGCAGACTTCGTCCATATTAGACGTGACAATGGTTTTGTTAGATACCTTGGAACTACGGGAAAATCCAAAACAGTGATAATTTCGATTTTTGAAGCAAATGCATGTATTTGTTTCTGTTATTTCGCCTATTATCGTACTCGTTGTTCTGACTAACTCTCATGCCTAGTGAGTGCGTCACTTCTTATGACACGCTGCCGGCAAATCTTGCAAAGTTCCATGGAAGAGGCCGCTCATCGGAAATGTTTGCTGTCCGCGTGTTTCAGTGGCAGTTCGCATGGAACAGTACCTTTATTGATATTCCTGGCATTTTGGTCTGTGCATCTGTAGATTCTATACCGTGTAATTGTACTATTTGTGAAGTTTGTGTTTGTTAAACTATTTCACTTAGTGCAGTGCTGTACGGCAGTATTTTATTTGTTGTGTCTTGTGTGGTTTTGTTGAACAGCATTTTTGTTGCTGAAGACCGCTCGTAGAGAACTATACCCAAAGACACCAATAACGAAGTAAGGCACAGTCGAAGCAACCCACGTCCATATACTTGCAGAAGAATACATCATTGAACAGTTTTCTTGTAAAATTAGGTAAGATTGACACTGTACCTTGTACCTCCAAAACACATAATTGCACTTGTTAGATAGTGCCAATTTCTGACTGCGTGTTAAGACAAAAATGCAGAATGCAAATGCTTAAAACTCGGCGTATTTTTGTGACCAAAACCGTATTTAAAATGTAGGCAACATTACTTGCTGGATTTAACTTTAGTTTCAGACATCTTACAATAAATTAATCATAGATTTTTTTGATATTTTCAATCAAAGTAAGTTCCATCAAAGTAAATCAACAAAGAATATACTCAACATCGGAATCGAGGATACACAAAACATGAACTCTAGATGCGCCACGGGTTAAAGGATATTTTTTCTACATTTCAAAAGATGTTTTATCCACTTTTTCATTACCAGGACCCGACAGTGTGTTTCTGTCAAAAGTTCGCCGTTTTCCGGTGCAAGACTACACGATTTGCTCTTCTTACGAAGGACCTTTGTAGGGTGGGGAGGTAAAAAATAATAATATTCAAAACTATTAGGTATATCACAGTAAAACATAACCTAAGATACTTCCATTGCTAGTGTAGGTTATAATGTATTTAAATTTCATGTTGATATATTCCTTACTATATTTAAATCGGTTCATAAAGATGCACAGAAAGACACTAGATTTTACATTACATACGTTTTAGAAATTGAATAAGAGAGTTGGAAAAGTGTTTGAAGGTTGACAATTTCCTAATGGTAGATTTGAAATATTACTTTTAAAATATTAAAGAACAGAAAAAGTTTTCGGGAAAATATTGCTTTTGTTATTTTCTTAAATTGCTCACACTGCACGCAATATTGCGCCAAAACTGCTAAAATTAAAAAAAATGTAAATGATCTTAATGAAAGAACTGACAATGAAGAACAAATTTTATTTGAACGGAAAATGTTTATCTTCAGCTTTGTAGTTGTAGGAAGATGCCGAAAATAATTCAAAATTTAAGTTAACCGTGAAAACATGTCCTATATATCTTTACATGTGTATTTTACTGTATTCTTACAAGAAATTTAAAGAAAAAATTTGGAGTCGTTTTTGAGAAAATTTTGAAAATATCCGGGATGCTTCATGTAACACCCCCGCACAATTTTAAAGAAAGTTTTTCAAAATCGCAGCGCCTTGAGTGTCACGTGATCAAAGGGGAATATTCATTTTGGAAAAAAAATCGCACGTATGGTTCAGGCGCTAGAGGTGTTCACATACAGGCGGACGGACGTTTTGCCGTCAATTGCTTTTTAGGTATCAAGGGTTCTCAAAACAGGGATTTTTGCTACACCATGTGTTAGAGGATTTTTTTATTAATTTTGCCACTAGATTTATCCATTTTTCGTTATCAGGCCAGCAAGGAATTTTTTCTGCCGAAAATCCGCCGTTGTTTCGCGTGGCATTACATAACTTTCCATACACAGGCTATATTACTCCGAACATACGTATGTATACGGGAAAGTAGAAATTGAAATATATGATTTTCTTCTTGATAAAAGTTTCCAAATCAATTTTAAGATAACAAGATTTCTGCGTTTTGTTTTACTCGTACAAAGTTTCGGATATCAAATTCATCTCCATCGTCAGGTACAGATACAAATTATCATGTCGAAATGGCAGCTAAATATACGATGCATATGTTGCTATACTCGCGCGGACGGAGAGGAGGCGGTCGCTGGATTGAATGGTGTTTCCGCGCGCGTCAACTGCTGAGTTAATTGGTACCGTAAGTGTAGTGCTGGATGGCGAGATCCGGTGCCGACCTGCTCGTTGACTTGCCGGGTTTCGCACAACCAGGAATTTCCGAGCAGCCGGGACGTGCTCCAAGCTCCCGCCTCGTGTGATAGTGAAGTGCATGTCAGTGCAAGCGTGTGTTATGAGATGAGGATAGGACAATGAAAAGTAAGGAAATATCGCGCGCGGTTCTTGGTCCTTTTGGTAGGGGGCTCTCCAGGCATTCATTTGGCGAGGACGGGAGAAAGCACGAAGAACGTACGATCGGAGCAACCGGCCGCCACAATGTCCTCGTGACAGCGGTGAATTCGCCCTGCATGACAAGCTAGTGCCGACAATCCTGCCTCCGTCCGGAGTCGAGCCCTAGGCTATCCCTGGGAGAGGCCCTGCAGTGGATGCCCTGAGCGACTTAAGCCAGTGAGGAGCGGAGAGGGGCGGAAGAAGAGAGGGAGGGGGAGGGCAGCAAGGAGCCGGTGGAGCGGAATCGTCGGAGGCAGCGAGACGAAGCGAAGGGAGCAGACGGAGCGGTGGCACGAAAGGAGCGAAGGACGAGGGAGGAGGGAAGGGGCGGAGCGGAGCGAATGGTCTTAGCAAAAGAAGTGGAAGAGCGGAGGAACAAGTAGAGCGGAAGCGGCTGAGTGCGAAGAGTGATCAGAACGGTCGTAGGAGGTCGGATAGTGCGTGAGATGGTGGGCAGATGGGCGAAGTCTGCGCGTCAGGGCCAACCTCAGAGTAATCAGCTAGATTGCAATGAAATCGTTTTAAATAACCGTTCGATGGCAACGTTTGCTCCATGCTGTAACACCGCTAGTTTGACATTGTGTTCGTGTTGAGTAAGCTCTAAAATTTTATAAATGTGTTCTGAAAAAAAAAAGAATTCAGCCGAAAGAAAGTTTTTACCATTCAACCTAATAACCAGGAACAGAAACAAAAGTCAAATTTCAATACTGCAAAACAAAATAAAAAACAAAATATTTTCGAAACTGTACAAAGGGAATTTACAAATATGATCTCATTTTCTTACAGGATAATGAATGTTCACCTAATGCAGAGAATATCTGAAATGCGATAGATAAATGGTGTTCAATGTAATAGTAGTATGAAAATGAATTTTAGAAAGTTCAACCTAATTTCTCTTTAGCCTCCACATTTTCATTTCCTTACAGATTTGCACATTTACATATTCTTTAAGACATGACTGATTTTTTTTAAATATAAAGATCTCAGCGTATTACTAAATATGAAGTTAATGACATCATAAACTCATCTAGCTGCATACAGACTACGTCTTCTCTTCATGGTAGGGAGTTACGTTTTCAAAAAAGTCAAATTAGCTAGCTTCTGTCAACCAAGATGACGATGCAACGTTTCTTAAATTCGAACAAAGAATATTATTGTAATAGAAAATAATTACGTCGTTGAAGGCCAGATTCACAAAAGAGGAAACACGACGAAGAATTCTTAGTACTGTCACAGATTACAGTGAGACATCAAGTAGTAGGTAAACGTTTTTATATTCGCAAAG